GTAACCTCATTAGAGGGCCCCATAAAATTCAGTCATTTTTAATGACTGCTTTTTGTGTAAGCAAATTACAGTCCAAAATGAAATGATGATGCACGAAATGATGTTAAAATGTGTGTCACCCATCAGTCGTGGCATTGTCATTTAATTGTTTTTATTTTCTCATTTTATTTTCCCCTCGGCATCTGATCAGCATTTTCACTTAATTCCCAGAGAGTTAAACATTTAATGGCATACTTTTTTGGGGCTAAAGTAAAGGCGCAAATATAAGGATTTCATTGTCTTGTACGATGTGCAGCTGTCTCCGTGGCGAAAACGTGTCAGCTATTTTTATATATGCACATGCAAAGCTATTACATATATCGTTTCCAGACGCCCTTATGTCTGAAGACAAGGCAAAGTCATGCATAATATATATACATATATATGCTGAAACAAAAAGGAATAATTTCAAATGTGCGTAGGAAAGTACAAGTGAGTGTTCAGTTGGTTTTTAGTATACATTAATCTCCTGGTCTAAATAATTTAACCTCGCCAATAAATATAAGAAAATAACTTTACCTTGACATTTTCTTGTTGTTTTTAAAATTGTTTGATGTACATTTTTTGTATAATTAGGTAACTCATTCACTTCGTCTTTTGTGAAAGAATATTGAAGAGCAAAACCATCATTAATATTTTTTCATGAACTTTACAAACTTTTTTCAAATCCCTTAAAAAGTATTAAAATTCAAGAGGCTTTGTACGTCTACATCTTCCTTAAACTTTAACTTTCTTTCATGTTTTGTTGTTCCTGCAACAAATTAAGCTTTAAGCCCGAAAGGAGAGAAAGTACAGGAAAAACTTTCCTTCCGCTCAATATCAGTTCCTAATTGGGCGTCTTTGGTTTGCTGCTGTTCCTGTTTGCGAGTTGGCTACAGTTTTTCGACTCATTATGCTGCTTAAGTTAACAACAGTGACTCAATTGTGCTACGCCCAGCTGACAGCCACAGAAACGGACAAAATCCCTCCGAAAACAAACCCAACTGGAAAGGCAACTAATTTAGCTTCGATTAACTTTGGCACGAGAACAATAGAGCTGTATGAGTATGACAAGGCACTGAATGCTGAATAGCAGCCGGAAATCATTGCCACCCATCCAAATCGTCATGATTTCGTTATGGCCCCAAGGAATTGGCCAGAATAAGAGCGGCCTAAACAATCCAAACAATTTTGTAAATAATCGAAATATGGGAAGCGGTTGAAGTGCTTTGGCGAAAACTTTTCCCACCATGCATACGTTGCGGTATCATTTTCAATGAAACTATAGCACTATAACCATGGCCATAGCTATATACCCTCCAGTGCTTAAAAGTTCAAGATTGTGAAAATTTCGACAATAGAATAAAAGTTTTTATGTTAAATGGGAATTTAAGCAGAGCCGGAAGGCGATGCATAAAAGAGTGAGAGAGAACAGAAGCCATCAATGTACGGCAATATTGATCAAATATTAAATCCAAAGTTTTTTGAAATCTAGAATAACGTGGAGTACAAAACAGGGAACCTTTAAGTGGAAAATATTATTAGTTTAGGTATTTATTAAAATGTTTATAAATTAATTATAGCATTAAGTGTTTGACGTTTTTATAAACATACCTTAAAGAGTTTAGAGAAAAAAATCTTTTTGTAAGTTTGAACTAATTTTGGAATTAAGAGTTTGACAATTTTATGAAGATTTCTTCTACTTCTTAAATAATCCAGAGATTTATTAATAAGTATAAAATTAAACATTGGCCACTTGGCATTCAAAGTAATTTTCGATTTGTGACAACCTTTTTGTAACGGTTTTTTCCTGTACAACATTAAGTTATTTTTTGTTTTTAAAATCATTTTCAATGCGAAAAATCCCTTTGATACATATCCACTGTGCGCAGTCGTTTGTTTAAAAAAACAAGGGACATTTTTTTTGGGCTTTGCATAATGCCAAAAGGGTGCTGGAGCTGTCCAATCTTTTTGTCCACGAAACTGATGCCAATTTCAATCAATTCAATTAATGCCTCAATTCATGGTTTTATCTCTTATTCCGCCCCGTAACACCATACGAAATGGGGAAAAATTGGGAAAACAAAGTAAAAGAAGGCAGGGAAAAGCGTCGAACGGAAATCCCGAACAAACCGCAATGGCCAACAGCAGACAATGCAAATTGTTGAAGTGCCGCCCTCGGACTCTCCACCTCTGTAGCTGTATCTGTATCTGTAGCTGTATCTGTGCCTGTACTGTATCTGTATCTCTGTATCTGTAACTGCGGTTTCCGTTTTGGCTTTCTTTTTGCGTTTTATTGCATGTGAAGTATTTGAAGTATTTGCGAACTACGCTCGAGTGTATTCATTCCCTTTAGCTGCAAAAGAGAGAGATGGGAGACTTTAATGTACTCGCAGTTCATTTTGTATTCATGCACTTTACAATTTCTTGTTTCCGATGCAGGCCAACAAATGCATGGGCAGGCCACAATGGGTCGACCAGGGGACACAAAAGGAGCAATAGGAGCAAAAGGAACACAAGGAGCAGCAGAAGCAGACTCAGCAGGATGTGTTCCTTCGGTTTCGTTTGGGTAATCATCTGCTCCAGAGTGCTTGAGTGGTCTTTAAGCTATCTGCTTGCTGATGATGGATAGAAGAAATAGCTGCAGCTCCTGTTCCAGCTGTGAAATATGATTTATGCGAGCGCCCAAAAACCACCGAAAGCTCTTTCTTCAGTTAAGGTAATATATTTGTTAGCCCATGTAAATGCCATAAAATATAAGTATGCAAATGAAAAGTTACTCTTTTTTTATGGCAAATAATCACCGGATGCCACGAAAAATTACTTATAAGCTGACATCACTTCAGAAAGCTGTCAAAAGATATCCAAGCGAATAATTTTAAAACAAATAAAATATTTTTACCCTCCCCCCTAAGTTTCACTTTCAGCTTGGCATTAAAGCTGTACATATAGCTGCAAGAAGAATCATTTGAACAATTAAAATAAATATTTGACAGTTTTTCAGTATACAGTACTTATGTCAATATTATAATTGCGCTCATGGAGTTTATGTATACATTTTCATTAATCGGTAAGCTATGTTTTGGGTGGTTGCAGAATTATCAATATTTTTTATAAAGGTGTGATTGCAAATATGGAATATGGCGTGTTTGATTTTAATTCATATGTCAGTAAGTTAATTTAACGATTTATTTTTTTTTACTCACCAGATTTAGACCGGATAAAATTAAAGAGAATACACGTTCCTTACTGATGTGCATCATTAATTTCGACGCCAGAAAAACGAATTTAAATGCACACAATCGGAATTGCAATCACAGAGCTCTTTCATGCATTCTTTGGCCGGGGGATCGACTTTAAGCACATTTCCATGGTACAACATGGTAACAGTGCACGACCAGCGCAAATATCGAAAGGGAAACACGTGCAGGCGGCTGGCGACAATCATTACAAGGACGATGAGCATAAACAACACAGCAGCAACATCCTGACAGACGGAAACGCAAACAAAGCACTCGCACTCGCACTCGCACACGCACAGGCACATTCGCATTCGCATTCATGATATTTACATTTACATACCACAGCACGTGCGGCTGTATTTGTGGCACCATTTATAAAGCAGATATATGCGACACAAAAAATCTCACATTATGTCAAATGTTTTGTTTTAGTCCTTTGTGGGTGGGGGGGAAAGTTGAGGAGTGATGTCAACGCCCGTTGTTTTCGTCCTGGCAGCACTACGTGCCTGTTGAATTGGTGCGCCACAGCTCGGATTTAGTTCGCATTTTTACTGGCCAATCGAGCACAAATTAAGCCCGGATCAAGGTCCTAGCCGAAAGCACTCGATTCAACAATCGCTGGCTAAGCACTTGGGCGACCGTTTTCAACCTGAAGTTTTGTCCGACTTAACTTGCAACCAAAGTTTTCCTGTTCGTTTTTCGGTTTCTGCCCAGAGAGAGTGAAGTAAGCACAATTGGGTCAATACACTGCCAAATCGTTTGTGCTCAAGACAGGGATTTGTTGCTAACAGGAAGAGGAAACTGCTATAGAAACGGCAAAAGATACAGAATCACACAAAATAATACCCAAGTCCTTGAGTTTTTCAAGTTTAATTTTAGCTACGTTGCAGCATTGTGATAATTGATGTCTGCGAATTGTTAATTATCCTCAAAGTTGGTTTCCACATCCACATCCGGCTGTAAGGGGCTTATTAGCCACTCGCTTTGTGAATTTTAGATCTCCACCTCTGATGTCTAAATCCCAGCCAGCAAGACTGTTCAATTATACTAATGCTATTATCTGGGTATTACGCATACGCAGTGTGTGCAACCAATAGAGGCTCGTAAAACGCAGAGCAAGCATTAAGATATTATTTGTGGTTTTCCTTCATCCAACCGATGTCGAGTGCAATTATCTGCAGAATATGTATTTAGTTGGAAACGGAGAGCTCTTAAACATTTCACTCAGCCAAGGGAGTCTTTTGGGTAAGTTGTGTTATATTCTATATAATTTATCTAAGCAACACACTGCCAACCGAAAATTTCAAGCCGCAAAGTGTCAGACTTGATGCTCCGGCTGCTGCTGGCAATAAATCTTGAAGTTCATTAAAAAGTTTATTTATATTTCACCTGCTGTGTGTGCGAGGGGAGGAAGTCTGGCAAGTGTCAAAGAAATAAAACCTCGAATTGAGGACAAATCTTTCTTAAGCTTGACCTTGACTGATGGCCTCTCATAAGAAGTCATTTGGATAAATCTGAAACAACAAAAATATTTTTTATGCAATAAAGTAGCAGTAAACAGCGTAGTAAAGAAACAAATTAACGTAATGCCTGCCTTAAGTGTGCACTAAAATTATGTTTTATAAGCAATAATAAAGATTAAATGTTGTAATTTAGTTTGTATAACATTGCAAAAAATCTTTAAATTGTGGGAATACGAATTTAATTCATAAATATATTAACAAATAAGTTTTACCACTATTTTAGGTAGCATTTCAGTTTTTATTACATTACAAAAAAAGGGTTATTAAACCGTTGTACCTTTTTCATTAAGGACTATTAATTAACACAAAAATAGATAAAGACAAAGCAAGGCATGGTTTTTTATATACGCCAAAATATCTGCATTCACTAGCTTCATTCAACTAAAACGTGTTTCGCCATTGAAGAGTCAACCAGGACGCCATCAAAAGGAAGCGCTCCAATAAGTTTGAATAGCACCAGATTTACACACATTCCACATGCACAAAGCGTGTATGCATGTTGAACAGGAGATAGTATGGCTTCGTCCTTGCCTTTTTATTTGGTAACAATAAAGTGGTGGGGTTGTGGTAGGCTTCAATATCGAGATTTAATTAAAAGCTGGCTGGAAGAGTCCATACACAGCATTGGATACGGAGTGCATATGAATTGATAGCGACATTTTAACCAAGCTTAATGTGTTAACTCAATGAATATACAAATTTGTTGGCATCTATGAAAGATTAAAAAGGGCATACACAACTATTATAAGTACTTTGAAAATAATACTCACTAAATAATGATTTTCTTAAATGATCCTATAAAGAATATGTCAAATCTTCCAGCGATGGTTTATATAACTGTGAAAAAAGAGTAAGCAGATTTTTTGTAATACTACTAATGAATTCAGATATCAAGTTTGGGAGATATCAATTAAAATTTGCATTTATCTTTTCAGCAAGAAATGTTTTAAGAAGTTAATAAATAACACATACTAAAACATATTCTTATAACTATTTTATTTATAATCAAAAGTCTGCTTAATTTCGTAAAGGCAAAGCAAGTTAAACTAAGATCTTGCATTTTTAAAAATCTCAAAACGTTTGTTTAGACTAGAAAATTGGTCATATTGTCATATAGTACACTTACCGTTGTTGATTTTAGAACAATGGTCTTAATTTAAAGAAGTTTTGTTGGAAGAGCAGCTCTGACATCTCTCTAAAAGTTCGTATTTTATCGACGGGAGTCGTCAATCGCAGCGCACGTCGTAGGAGGAGCACTCGCCGAAGTCCGCCTTGAGGGTGAAGTACATGCCCACACCGATGCCGGCCACAAGGATCAGGACTCCCAGCCAGTAGACGAGTCGCCAGAAGGGCCAGGAAGTAGGTCTTTTTTGGGGACGCTCCGTTCGCACCTCCTCGTCGACTTCAACTCTTTCTTGCTGGCGGCGTGGCTTGTTTCCCATTTTCCGAGGACTTCAACTTTAGCAACGAATTCTCCCTTTTTGTTAATAATTGATTGGATTTTCACGACCAACTTGATGGCAACAGAATGATTACATTTTATTGAAATTACTTAAACATCTGGTAGGCTGAGATTCATCTCGTTGGCCCAACTTTTGGCTAATTATTTAAGTTAATTGGCCTTTGTCCGCAAAAAGCCAGGCGAAATGACTACGATGATGATGGGGGTGCTAAGGTCAGGCCTAAAATATTTGCTCGGAGGCCACAAAATGTCTCGCAAATTTGTTCAAATTACTTGGAACACAACAAGAGCTGCCGCCACTCAATTCGACATCCTTTCAGACCGGACTCCATGCATAAATAAAAGGGGCCTGGGTGGAATATAAAAGGACTTTGTTTGCGGTCGAGAGATGAAAAGTCGTTTCTCTCCATTATTTGCGAACTAATTGGTTGTAGGACTTGTGCATTTCTGTTGCTTAAATGTTTGCCCAAAGAATTTTGGAATTTTCGAAGGTGTCAAGTGCCCTACCATTACAATGGCCCTTTGCTGTATCAATTAAATGGCCAAATTGCGTAAATGAATGATGTGGTTCAATCATGAAAAGCACGTTGCATATATGACGTGGATGTTGCCACTTAGGCATGCTGTAGATCTTATTCTTGCCATGATTTAAGTGGCTTTCGCCTGTGCCTTTCCCCCGTGGCTCTCTTTTGGAATTGCCGTTGCCATTACTGCTTCTTCAATTTCAATTTCAGTTTCTGTTTGATGTTAATGAAAGTTTCCGTCGTGCAAATAAAGCCAAAAGCATGGAAATCAGTAAAACAAATTGCAATCTGCTTTTTATCGCACGTCGCTGCATGACTGCTGGCTGCCGGCATTTTCCTTGCTCCATCATCGATTGCCTGAATTTTTCCCACTTTCCTCAGATCTTTCCCCGTTTTCCCGTTTTCCGTTTCCCCGTTACTGGCCAGGCTATTGACTTGCTCATTATGGCCCTGATGATGACTGCTCTTGCTCCAGCTTCAGCTCCTGCTCCCAGCAGATATCTGTGGGTGTTTTGGTTCCGTTTCGTTTTCAATTTTAATGCAAAAAGCATAGCTCTTTTCATTCCGCATCCGTATCGTAGCGTATCGCCCAGCAATCTGGGGGCAAAAATTGTTAATATATCTTAACGGATATTCAATTTCCGAGGACCAAGAAATGCATTAAGCTCGTAACAAAGCTAAGCCGCTTCAACCGAAAGATGGCAAAATTGTTCAACTCCAGCGGGGTATTATTAAAAATTCAAAGTCGTTATAGAATGGCAAACTTCAGGCAGTGCGGGCCAAGACATAATAATAATATAGAGCCGGAGTGGAGGAGCTACAAAAATGGGGAGACAACAAGCAAACTATGAACTGGGAAACTGGGAAACTGCAAAACTGAGATGCCGTGATGCCGAGATGCTCAACTATGCCCAAGTTGGCTGTCCGACTGTTTATTTTCACTAGACTTCGTCTTTCACTGGCGTCGGCCTTATTACGCTCGGTGGCCCATCATCTGCATGGCCTTGTGGTGGTGGGTGGGTGGTGGTTGGGAGCTGGTGCAATTGCCAAGACGAGCAGGCAAGTTGTCAACTAACTTTGCAACAATAATCGCCAACGTCGCAGGCGAAGCAGTGACAGAACTGAAGCAGCAAGCCCCTAGATAAAAACCAGAAAACAATAAGACTTTCGGCTGACTTTTATTCAGTCTTCTTCAGCTCCTTCACCTCAGGCACTAGCAGCGTTTACCCTCGAAAAAGCAAAGGTCCTCAAAAGGGAGCAAACAGCAGCAAATAGGCTGTATGGAAAAGGATCTCTTCAGACTTTCGAGTCATAGGACAAAGGCGTGATTGCTTTTCCATTTTGTTTAGCCAGACGAGACGAGAATAAAGAGGATACAAAGGGTTTGTGAATATGCGAACAGGTTGATGTGTGGGCTTAACTTAGTTTTTCTGTTTTGACAAAAAAAAAGTGTAAGCAATAAGCTACACAGAAATGCATCAGTCTCAATGTTTTAAAAACCAATTAAGATACTGATCTAATATATATTAAGTGAAATGCAGAAGTTGATTAAGCAATTTTATAAATGGCTTTATATGATATTAATACACATAGCTGTAGATGACAGTTGATAAACATATGCAACTATATTATTCGCCTGCTAAACAAACACTAACTAAATCAACATATGATGTGCACATAAATTTCAATAAATTTTGTCTGAAAGAGATTTTAACTGACATTCCAATTGTAAAATAAAATAAAATGTTTTCAATCTAAATATATCAGATTAAAGGAACAAAACATCCCAAGCCGTAGTTTCAATTTTGGAGTCTCTGTTAAACGCAATCCCATTTAATTAAATAAATCTATTAGCCAACTTTTTGCTTCAGTTAACTATTGAATTAGCAGCCTCCCCAGGGGGGTGTTTTAAAAATGTCTATCCAATTTCTGGCATTTTCGTGGGTAGTGTCTGGCCTCAAAAAATAGCAAGGGAGCTGGCAGAATAGTGTGCGTGGCATATGTAAATTTTAAGCTAATTAAAATTAGCATATATATGTATATATGTCCCCTTTCTGCGGGGACATACGCGTGTATGTATTTATATGTAGCCCATTATCTGGCTCAGTCGCAAGAAGACGAAGAAAACTACGCGCTCGGAGCTGATTAAAACCGAAAGCTAACAGGCGTTTGCTCTTTGCCCCGTTCATCATGCCCCTGCAACATATGGGTCCTGACCCCCAAACACAGTGCCACGCCCCCTTTCAGGTTGCGCCCCCTCTGCCAGAGGGCTTGTGTGTCACTTTGGCTCCGCATTAGAGTCGTAAAAATTTATTGTAACTTTTTTTGAGGCCACCCATGTCTGAGCCCGCAAGCTTAAGGCATTATGCCTTTTAATTAAATCGCTCAGATGTGTGTCAGACATAAAATAAAATGGAGTAAAATATATTTTTACATATATATGTTATAGTTTGAGCTGGCTTTAGTCGATTACAAAGCATCAAATTAATTATCATAATTATACGTAAGCGCTGGTTGGTATTTTAATTGCTCATCCGCCATGTTGCACATTTCATATAAATTGCAACGAAAAAGAAAACAGAAAAAGAGGAAATCAGAAAAATGGACCATAAAATTGCATTAAAAAAAAATCTTGTAAATTTAAAATTGCAAATCCCCTAGAGCGGTATATACATCAACTCGTTGTTGAGTTCACTCGGCTTGCAGTTCGAGGATGCATTGTCCTTACCCGAGTCCTTTGTTAATTGCCGGAAATGCAAATGGACGGAGGGTGAAGGGAGAATGGATGGCCGGCTGTTCGGTCGACCATAAATGATTTCCATTTTAAATGCGTTCCATTTCAACATTTATTTACTTTGGAGGTGAGCCAACAGCTTCCTTTTTGTACGCAATTTTCATTTCTTTGGCCCTCGTTTGTTCCTTTTTTTTTGGTGGGACAACAATTCGCTTTGGCTTCACACCAAATTTGATTTCATTCGCAAGACGCTCTCAGGTTAAATGGTGCAGAAACTCCTGTTGACTTGCCGACTGGCTGACCGACCCCAAGTGGGATCTCGGAATGAATTTAAAAGCCACTTTTGGCCTCAGAAAAAAGTAAAAGCTTGGACCAAAAGAAAGCACTTATCGGAATATAAAGTTTTAATGCACCTAAATACATATCTAATGAAAACAAAGTTTGTTGTTTTCGTTCTATGTATACCTTAAGGATGTAGCCCTTTTGAAATTCTATTTTTTTTTAACTCAACTTGGAATAATTGGAAAACGGTGTTATACTTGAAAATACATGTTTTAAAGATAATTTTAAATTGTATTGTAAATTCAAAAGTATAAGATTATCATATAATGCCAAAATTATTTTTCTGCGTGGAGGGACGAATGGATAAATCCTGTTTGTTGTATAAATATCTAAAAATAAATGTCACAAGTTTTACATTTCAATGCGGGCCATCCGAACGCTCTCGATTCGATGTCAATTTGTGTGCTCTCTGGCGCATTTGCATAAAAAAATTGCCATGCATTTCTCATCCTGCTCCGATTTTGTATTTTTCGGCCCGGCACTTTGAACTTTCGAACGCAGTCCAAGTCGCCGAGAGAGTCGGTTATCCATTTGCAGCTCAGCAAGTTTTGACTGCAGAATGTCAACAAAATAAATGCATAAATAAGGAGATCATCGTGTCAAGGAGGGAGGGCCACGCCCACTCCCACTGCCGCAGCAGCCACGCCCCCTCTAAGAGGTCTCAATATAACGAGATGATGAAAAATGTTTGAGTTTTGCATTATTAAAGTTCTTGCCTGGCAGTTGGCAACTTTTCACGTGCTGATAAATGGCCTCGGGCCAAAAAAATAAACGAAAAAGAGGGAAAACTATTCCATCTTCACTTCGGGTGCGAACATCCTTCAATTGAAATATATCCCCATTTTCCTCCGGCTATCTGTACATGCACCTCTATGCTCGAGTGGGATAAACCCGTGCACACTTTTTTGGGGTTGCCAGGGGGATTTTAAATCGTCTTGATTAAGTTTTTGCTTGGCACTTATATGTAGTTAATTAAGTGCGTATTACTTGTCTCTTCCCTCGCTTTAAAAGCCATTAAAAGATTGACTTATTCCTTGGGGTTTTTCTTTTCACATCAATCCATTTATTGTAAAATACGCCGGTCTAAGGGCCAAGCTTTCTGGTTTTTCATTTCTTTGAATTGCTTAACTTAGAGGACATAAAATTAATGTATACATAATATAGTTCGTAACTTATGTGCTAAATGCATTTATTTAGCTCTTATGGTTTTAGTCCTTCGCTCACTTCATTTTGTTTGTTTGTTTGTTTGTTTATTTTTGGTATATGCAAAACTGCAGAAAATAGTTTTCAGTTTCTTGTTTCGTAAAAACTTGCATATTATCTGTATCTATTTCTGACTTGATCTCTTTGGCATGCGACTCCATCGGTTTGGGGATTCGGGAATGGGGAATGGGTTTCGTTTTGGACTGAAGCAGACGTTTAGTAAGCAGGAAAACGAATGCGTAGACACTATCGTATGGTACAACAATTACAAGTACATTTACCAACGCTATAACTAGTAGATGTATACTTCATATGACTGATATGGTGACCTTACGCTAGAAGTTCTCTTCTCCCCGCATCTGTCTGTATATTTATTATTTGTCTGAGATGAGCCTAAGCGAGTTTAGGCCTCTTACATATTACAACTAGATTAGTTTTAGTTTTAAGATTGGGGGCGGGGAAGGGGTGGCGATTATGCCTAGACATTAAATCTGCATTTCCTTATGTGATATGCTCTCTCTGTCGCTTTAGTTTGAGCTACCGCGAAACTTAAGCCTCTATGAGATCTTCTTGAAAGACCAAAGAATTGAATATTTATACGGGTAGAACGGGCCTGGTTGTTGCCAACTAAATTACGCATACGCCTAAGGTACTCTAAGGCCAGAGTAAGCTCCATTCGAAAGATTAATGCTACAACTTAGGTCTGATCTGCTGAGTATTTACAATGGTTGTGGGGGTGTGGCGGTTGCCATCTCTTTTTTTACACTTATCTAAGATCTATGATCCCAGTTCCACTTCCCACAGACAAACAGTGGACTCCCAACTATAGTAGGCATGGCTATGGTGGTTCACTGTAGCGGTATTTCCCTTTTCTTTTTTTAACGGGAACAGCTCACTTACGCCTGCCCGGCGGACACAAACTGTACCACACTGTTATCATTGGCTATCGCCGCCGGCGCTGCTGCTATTGGCGTTGCTGTTGTTGCCGTAGCTGTTGCTTTTGCAGTTGCAGTTGCTGTTGTTGTTGTTGCTGTTATTTTTGCACTGCTCAACGGCGCAACATCACCAGCAGCTGAACCGGACGCCAGACACTCGACAGCGGGCAGGCGCTTAACCAGCATCCGGCTTGACTTGACCGCTATCCATTCATTGCGAGCGGCATCGAACCAAGTCAGGCCCAGATTGTAGCGCCCATTGAGATTGGCGTGCTGGCAATGAGAGAACCACCAGCCACCCTCATAGTTAGCAGCACAGTGCGTCTGTGAGATGTCCCGATCGTCATCGATGGCCGAGAATTGCATTCCCTGTTGGTAGTTCAAGGCATCGGACGCATTGCCCGAGTACTCGGCGATGTGCAACCGATAGCCATCGTTCCGCGACGAGATGTAGAATCGCTTGTATTCGGCCACCCAAATGTTGTCGTAGATGTCCTGCATCTGCACCAGCAGCCGGCTGCAGTTGTCCAGTGTCAGATGGTGCAGCTGCTCGTTGCCAATCCAGAATTCACCGCCCGGCGTTCCGAATCCCTTGGCGTAGTCCGCCCACGAGCGATTGAAATCGGCGCTGCCGTCGAAGCGACGCTGCACCGTCGTCCAGCCGTCGGCGGTGCAATGCGTCATCAGCGGATGCCGCTGGCCGGCGGGCGCAATCAGATGCAGTCCGTCCGCCTGGGTGTGCACCTCGCCGCAGTCGTGCGGCAGCTTGTTGATGATGGCCTCGTACTGCGTCTCCACGTTCTCCAGTTCGCTGACCAGGGTCTCGGCCAGGACGGAGTCGCTGGGGGCGTCCACCTGCGGCGACTGCTGTTGCAGATTCTGGTGATGCGGTCGCTTGTGGGGCTTGTTCAGGTGGGAGAGCTGCAGGAGAGGCAGGAATCAAATGGAGATCTGTGTTAGCCAGGGGGTAGTGTTTAAAGAACTTAAGCTCAGGGCAATAAAATATAAATTCATGTACAAAATGTAAGTTTTCAAGAGGGAGAAAATAGAGATAATTTTCTGTTTTTAAAGGTTAAACAAAATTAAGTTTAAAAAAGTTTTTGAATCATTAAGTAATATAAAAGTATATTAATAGATAGACACATATTCAGAAGTTTTATGAGTTGTAATTTAATATTAATTGTATTTAACATTATGATTTCAAATGTAATTTTAATATTTAATATACAGTTTTAAATTCAATAGTCTGATATTTATGTTTACTATTCCATTTTTATTAGTCCTTTCTCAAGGACTAAACCAAATTGTAACATATTATAGCCGCAGCGCCGTTTACAACCAGCTTAAGTATATCTAAATATCTCACCTTATTCTTCAGCTCATCGTTGACCAGTGACTGCAGGCGATCGACGTTAGTCCTCAGCTGATCCACGTTGGCAGTCAGCTTTCGCATTCCCTCGCGCTCCTCCTGCAGGACACTCACGCTCACAGCCATGGCCTGCAAGGATCGTGCCGCATTGGTGCCCTCCTCCCTTATCAGACTCTGCTCGGAGGTGATCTGGGCATTGGCAAACTCCAGCTTGGAGATCTCGTGCCGCAGCTCGGGTATGCTCTTGTCCATTTTGGTCTGCAGACTCTGCACGTCTTCTAGGAGCTCCAGCATCGAGGTGTGTAACTTGTCCAGCGAGGCGATCTGGCTGCTCAGGTTGAAGTTGGCGTTGGCGATGCGGTGCTGCTCCACCTCGATGCTGCGTACCCGCTCGTCAATGTGGTGGAACCTCAATCCGTTCACCTGCCGGCGCAGGTTGCGCTGGGCCATTTGCAACTGATGGATCTGTTCGCTCTGGAAACGACAATGGCGACGCTTGTGATCGGCGGTGGGTTCTAGTCCAGTTGGCTTAAAAAAAAATAATTTGTTATATTATATTATTATTATTATGTTATTAAATTTAGGTCATAAATTATGTGGGTGAGAGGTACTCAAACAAATTTTGTAATACATTTATTTTACGTCAAAGCTGGTAAAGTAATATTAATACTTTAATTTCTCTTTGCGCCATAAAAACCCATGATATGGATAATGCTAGGCAAAAGCTCGTAAGCTAGCTACGATTCTTTTGTCGCTGGGCGGACTGGGATTATGTGTGCAGGGAATTGAATGCTAGATCCATTTATTATAAATGCATTTCATAACCAAGCAGACAGAGCGTGCCACAATAGTGTCAGCTGCAGCTTCGCCGCCAGCTCAAGCTGCAGCTTTGCCCAAAAGCGTGTAAATCCCCGGAGCTGCTGATGCCGCTGGCTTGGGTTGGATTTGCATCCTCCAACCGTCAACGCCCACTCCCGCCACGCCCACGCCCACGCCCTTCCTAAGTCTCGGTGGTAAAAGCTGCATAAATTTCCACATACATACAATATGCATAGAAATAATTTTGCTGAGTGACAGCAGCGAGCAGCTGTAAACCAAGGTAGTGCCATTTGGGTCACATTCAGCCGGCGCCATGAATGAATATGCCCAACGCTGGAGGAACTGTTCTATATATACTATATATGTATTTGCCGCCCCAGGGTTTCCTTTCATTTGCGTTCGTGGCCATCAGTCATAGAAATGTCCCGTGTAATTGACTAATAAAGGATGCTGCCAGGGACAAAAGACGGCAGAAAGTGTCCTGCTAATGAATGCAATGAGTGAATGGGAAAAGGAATTATGAAATATATCCTGCAAAAAGAGGATAACAAAATAAAAATAAAAACAAATACGTTTCTGCTTTTAATACTTCTTTTGTGTGTGTTGTCGTTGACTTTCTTTTTCCTATGACCCAATTTAGTCAACCTTAAAAATTGTACATTTTTCAGTAAATAACTAAAAAAGTAAAAGTTTCTTTCTAATATAAATATTTTATTTAACTGTTCTTTTTTAAAGGATTCAAAAAATTTCAATATTTTTGAAAATTCCTAAATTCGCTGTTTGACTTACTTCTAAAGACTCACTAACAAATCATATTTTCCCAAATTTTTGGACATTTCCCCCCTTTGAATTCAATTATTCTTGGGAAAAAAGCTAACAAAAGAGCAACAAAAATGTGGAAAATATTCATGAATATTTATGCCCAAGTTGCGTTTGTGCCTCATCGGCATCGAACACTTTGGTCCGTTGTGAAAATGTTTTCATTGGTGCCGCAGCCACTGCTTTTCCGCTTTTCCACCGCTTTTCCAACGTTTCTTTTGTTTGCTTTGCCTTCACGCACGTTTCGGCGGTGGTTCAGTGGGTGGTTGGGCGGTTGGGTGGTTGGACTCCAAGCCTTGGCGTTGTTTTATGTGAAAGGTCACGAACGCGGCTAATACGACACGTTCGCGTTTTATATGAACTCTGGCCGAGACGGGAAAGTGGCCATCAAAACGGAGAAATCCTCAATATATATTCGAGCAAACGTGTTTGGTATAGATATATATATATATATATCAAAAGTGGAAGAAAGGTGCCAACGCTGGCATATAAATTTTGCCCATCAACAATATAATTAAATGTGATTTATGCGGCTCAAATTTCCCGCTTGAAACAAATTAATTTTTCTGTGTGCAGTGACCAATGGCCGCGTTAATTGAAATCGAAATTGATGCATAAATATTTCAAGTGTTTTTCGTGTGAAGTCATAAACAAAAGGATCGCAACGTCGGTGGCGCATGAAACAGGGGGAACTAATTAATTTCCTGGGCTGTCCGGGTTGGTTCAAGGATTAAAAGTGAAAATTTTACATGCTGTACTTAAGTAAAAGCTAACAAGGATTTGCTATTAGCGTGACAGCGATTCCAAAGGGGATGGAGATGGGGTTGGGGTTGGGAATGTAGCTGTGGATGCTGCATGGTACATCGAGTATAGAAAAAGAGCAAAAATCTGCTCTTGTTAGTGCTGCTCCACGGCGAATTGTCGTAAAAATTTAATAGGACTTTTGTGCGATGCTTGAAAAAGTTACGCTAACTGGCAGATAGGAAAGGGAAAAGGGAAAGGGATCTGGTGGGTTGCAAGAGTCGTAGGGCGCCGCAAAATGCCATTAAGTTAATGCGCATTTTGGGGGCCAGAAACGCTCGTTGCCAGGACGACCTCATCGGAAATGGCACAGCCTCAAAGTCAACTTTAACGTAAACCTGATCCCTGGTCGAAAACTGGCAGACGTGTGCATAATTTGAAACTAACATTTTTTCCCACAAATATTCAGTTGAATATGCATGAAAAGCCTGAAATCTGAGTACCTCACAAATGTTTCAATAAAAATATCTCGCCTACTGAAATAAATATCAAAAACATAAGTGAATTTCACCGATACAAATGCGTAACAATAACAACCAGCTCCACTTGAACAATCAAACAAATTGCTGGCAACAGAAGCGCCAGTAGAGAGATGGTTTGTAACATGAAACAAAGGCTAAAACAAATATCAACATAAATAAGGTAAAAATGGTGAGGAAGTTGGTAGGTCGGAGTACGAAAGCAGATATACCAGTACAAAGAAGAACCGAAACCGGATTCTCCGTGTCAGGCAGCCTTGGGGCTCCTGCCCGTCTCCATTTCTTTTGCTCTCGACTGCCGTTGTGTGCCTGGCATTTGTTTGCCTTGCTAATTTAACAGCCAGTCTCTCATATGAACAATACCGTATGCCCCTTCTCACATATTCTAGCATCAATAACCAATGATAAACATTTGTGCTTTTTCCCTCTTTCGGGCCGAGTATCTGGCCCAACAACAACTGTTGCAAGTGACAGCTTTCATCAAAGCAATTTGTTACAGAATGCGTGAACACATATGTATGCATGGCTTTATATCGGAGGCATCAGTCTGCAGAAAGTTTGCAATTAGAGTTGGCAAATTATATTTGGCTTTTCCCCTGTCACCGGCAGATGTTTACGGGTTTCATTGTTATCACCTCTGAGCAAAGCAATAAATATATGTCCTCAGGTTTGACTTCTAACCATTAAATTAAGCTTATGCTGTTTAACTTATCGGGGCTTATTAAATTATGTAGATGTGATGTTCAAGTTCTGTGGTAATTCATACGAAATAAATGTTTATATCTAATCCAACTTCACTATGGTAACCTTTAAAACGTGGGTTCTACTTGTATATGTAGCATTTTTTTTTATTTATTTGCGTTTAATATTTTTGGCAGCCATTTCCCAGAATTCTCTGTCTCTGGTTTCTATCTAAAACCCCAAAGGTTTTTCGGGGTTTTGCATAACTTTACAGCTTTGGCTTTGTACATTTTTCTTGACTAATCAAATAAAGGAAAGTTGATTAAATTTAACCAGCCACACGTACACACACAACGGAAATTCTTGTCTATTTTTTGTAAATTCCCTTCTTTCGTGGCAGCCACCTGTGCAATTTTATTGTTTGTATTTTTATTTATTTTGTTGCTGGTTCTCCTTGAGCTGGTTTCACCTTTGCCATCTGGCCCCCATCTCTTGATCCTTTGCCTTTGTTATCTGCTTTTTGCTCTTTGTTCTAATTTAACCTAATTTCTGCTTTCCTGCGCTTCTATAATAACAATTTTCAAAAATTGCTTTTGGTTTTGTGTGATGAGAAAGTTCAAGAACTGGTTTTGTTGGTCAAAAAGCGCCCCCTACTCAGCGTTTTTTTTGGTGAGAAACAAACCGGCAAGGAGAAAAAACAAGAAGTATAATGAAAAGGATCAAATTGTGCTGAAGCATCGTGAGTTTGACGTTCAGGGAAGTGAGGCGTATGGCAGGGGAACTGATTATCGGAGCACTTGAGAGCATCTGCCGGAGCTCCATCTCCATCTCCATCTCCACTGCCACAACTCCAACTCCTGCTGTTGGCTGCCAAAAACTTGGCAACACAAGGGACAAGAGACAAAAGGCAGCTACGGCCCTCCGTCTGTCCATCAAGTGAACCTAAGCCAGTTCCCAAAGCAGCTGGCCAGTGAATCCCCTTCCCTGAAACGCCCCCCTCCCTTGACTCTGGGCGATTAAAAGGTGATTTCCTGCTTTTTGTTTTGCAATTTTCAGCAATTTCGCTTTATATTTGGCAACGGCCTGCCCATTAATGATATATAAACACAGACAGACACATTGGGGATGAGAGAATATATGTACAGCATGTGATGCGTGTGCTTCGAGGTCCGGCGAAAGCCGCTTAAGCTGCCTGGCTGAACACTTAATCCCCTCCTTGTACTTAAGGAGTCTCAAGGGTATATCGAACCTGTCTGAATTAGAGGTTAACCGTGGTAAATCGATCTCAATGGAATAGAGACAATGGCCATCAGAATTAATTGAAATAGCTCATGTTGAAAAGGATATTAATCAGAAACATAGGGGAGGAACATAGAACAAAAACATATTCAGTAGTATGAAAAGTTAACTGGCTCATGAAAGAGTTTCATAAATTCATTTCAAATATTTACCAATGGATATCATATAGTCGTAATTTTGCCTTTCAACCTCTTGCATTTCGTTTATATTTTTCTTAAATTTCTATTTCGCCCTTTGAGACTGTCAAGTAATTGCTTTAGCTCGTTGAAAATTCTCTGCTTTGTGGGCGAACACACAGCATATACAATTTTTGAACAAACCAAGTGAATTTCGCTGGCAAAAACAAAATTGTATTCCTCTAAGCAAGCAAATTTCGCTTAAGCCAAACTTCAAAGTGGAGCGCACTGAGTGAATAACGCTTGAGGAGCAGCCACAGGAACGGCAACTAGGAGCCAGAAAACAACAGCAACCAGATGAAAACAGGTGGCAGCCAAACCAGTTTGATGGGGCAAAAAGGGCCCCACTGACATATTTCGTTGATGGTCGAACGGTGTTACCGCATTCTCATATTGGAGCGGACTGGCGCATAATCCTTTTAATGAAGCAACCTGGAGCTTGTTACCTGGCTGCCTTTCCAACGCCATCGCCATCGCTGTGGCTTTACCTGTTGGCAGCTGCCTTTGTTATTGCTCCAAGTTTCCCTGCCATTGTTGCTGAAGTTGATGTTGATGCTGCTGCTCCTGCTGCTGCTGCTTCTGCTGCAAGCCCTTTATTGACATTAATTATAATTAAGAAAGCGTAAGGGTGTCGAGTCCTTCCACCCCATCGCACACGATGTGCGAGCTCATGAGGGCTGGAGCACCGACGTCCGAATCCTTCAGCGTCAGATTCAGCTTCAGATTTCTAGAACTCCTTCACTCTGACGTATTTCCCCATCCTTCACTGTATGCCTGACATGAGAGCCCTACTAAGTGTGCCAGGATTCTGACGAAAGGATGCCACCGATCATGGCTTCATCATTTGCAGCAAGCTCTTTATGATTCGGCGGGGGCCCCGGACATTAAGGCATTGAACGTGGGCCTAAGTAGCTGCCACGGGCGAGCCGGCTTTGCCATTAAATATTAAATACGACAACGTCCTGCGGTGCGTATGAGTAATTTGGCCAACGTATGTGTGGCAGGCCATTAAAACGGCGAGGCAAAAGGCGGACGGCGACGTCGGGCCCACTCGTTAGCACATCGTGCCGCTTACCGCCCTCAACTTTTACCGCTCCTCACCTGGGCAGGGACCCATTTACCCGCCGTATAAAAGTAAGGCATAAAACGACCAGATAATGCCCCACCAGGTTGGCGGTCGGTTTATGGGACGCACTTAAAGCGAAAACAAAACAAAGCGGCGGCTTTCTTTCGGGGGTCATAAAAAGGACACACGGAGAAAAACATAACCATTTATATTCCTAGCTATAATACATTGTGTTCGTTATCGTTATTGCTTTCAAAAGTCTTATCAAAGTCAAATACTTTGCCTAACTTCAAGACAATGGTCTCCCTTAGCTATCATATTAATTAAGTTAATTTTAAAATATTTTAGCTATATAATTATTCCCAAGCTTAGTCCTATAACAAACTTTTCTGATCAATCAAGTTAAAGATTTTATGTTTTTTAAAGATTTAAGATTTAAAAAATGCATTTAATAACATCACAAAATGATAACTTTTAAAGAGGGAACAAATTATTGATTTTAAGTCAAAATAAGCATATATTTTTAGCCAGTGCAGAGTCCTTCTACCTTAACCCTCGCGTGCTTATCTGATGATTAGCATAAAGCGGGTACTCACCTCCTGGCTGGCTTCCTGGCTGCCGCTCTCCTCCTCAACGCTGGCCGAGCTGCCGTCCTTGCGATTCCTTTTCTGCTGCTTGACGAGGGCGTGCTGGAAGTCCTGCTCCTGCTGGAGCATCTCCTCACGGAGCTCCTGGACATAGACCTCCGTCTGCTGCTGCCGTTCGCGCTGGGCGGCCAGCTCGAGCTTCAGCTGCTGGTAGTCACTGCGGATGGTGGCCAGGTCCTCGAAGGTGGAGCTGCGCTGCTGTACATCCCTGGCCACGTTGCCGGCGGTCCTCTGCAGATCCACCAGTTGTTTGCGGATCTCGGAAATCGTCTGCTGTAGCCATTCGACGGTCAGACGCTCCTTGTTGCCGCTCTGCGAGGAACGCAGCTGGGCAACCTCCTCTCTGGGAATTAAAAATTTAATAAAATCGTTAATTAACTGGGGAGAGGCAAAACAAACCAAACGTAACGCTTTAATTGCTATACTCTGATCGGGAGGAAATCTAATTTAAATTGGCAATTTCAGACTGTCGGCTAACTTAATTGCCAACGCGGCCGGCGTGCGGTCCACTAATGGGATTTCGACCTGCACTCAATCATGTGCTAGCATCGCCACAATACCGCTAAATTTTCACGAACCATTTAAATTAAGCTCCACGTTATAATTTTATCAGCCACCAACATTGTCAGCAAACAAAAATCATAGAAGTCATACAAACAGAAAATAACAAACAAAAAAAAAAATAAGGATGACAACTTTACGGAAAACACGCAAAATAAAAATCAAGAGAGGCCCAGACCGCAAACAACAAGTGCTGGCAAAAAACGTAGTTTAAATGTTGAAAATGAAAATGTTGTAGCACTTGTGGCAGTTGTCAGCTAACAAAAAATAAGTAGAACGAAACCCAACGAAACCAAACGAAACGCATTTTTGTGGCATTTCAGACAATTAAAGTAGTCAGTTGGAAGGAAGCGGAAACGGAAGCGGAGCCACCAGCAGTCGGAGCACAAGAAGCTGAACATATTCGGAGCGTAGGTAAAAAGTTTTGTTTTCGGAGGCAGCAGAGGCAGCCGCAGCTGCCGTTGTTGTTTTATTTTTCACTGTCAAAAGAGCACAGCTACATGAAATTTTCATAAGGAAAAACCCAACCGGCAGCTACACAAAAATAAACTAAGCCAAAGAAAAGTTGTCTTGGTCTCATTCATACACACATACATTACATTCCCATAGGTTTTTATATTTGCCTGCGTATACGTAATATTTCAAATTGTTGCATTGTGCGTGGGCGGTTTTTGTTAATTTTATTGCTTGCAAAAGTTTTTGTGGCCCAGGCCAGACAGACTATGAAAAGTTATGGATTTATTTGGTTTCCCTTTTTCGGTATAATTACTTAAATATTTAATTAAAACGGGGTGAGGTCGGGTTACAGTTGGAGTATTAAAAGCGTTTACTGACCCAACATTGTTGCCCAAGGCAAACATGTATCACTAAATATTTTCTATGTTAACTAAAATAAAATAAGGTTTTTGCTGGTACTGTTCCTGAAAAACCTGCATTTCTATCTTTTATCCCAAAAAACAAATTCTAGCCCTGCTCGTTGGCAACTTTTGTAATGCCAAACCAACTGAATATCCCCTCTACGCCTGGCAATTTTTCGCTTGGCTGCTGCACAGTCTTTTCCAACAAAAAACTGGCTGTCATTCAAGTGAAAATTGAAAATGCTGTCAATGACATGCGAGCAAATTGAAAACGCAACATGAACACTGCAAATGCCGAACTTTATCGGGCCTGATTTGATGACGTCTGATGGCATCCACATCCGCATCCGCATCCAAATCCGAATCCAAATCGGATTTTGACGATTTTAATTAACAAATTGGATGCAGCGGAATAAGTTTCGACCGAGAATGTTATCAAATATACTCAAATCAACAGAATGGACTTGGACAACACGAACCGCACGAAAAGTTTGTGGACTCATGGTTTCAATCAGATAATGATGTTATCCAGCTGGGGCTAAAGCTGATCCAGGTGGGCGGGGAAGGGGGCGTGCTAGTTGATGGAAGGTATAGTGGTCGGTTTTTGGGTGGGCGGCGATAGTGGATCACATAAACCACAACTGACATGACGTTTGACTGGCGTTTGCCTTGGGACTTCCTTCTACACACATGTCCTTTCTGCAAAACACACTCATATGGATATGTTTGTATAGTACATAAACATGAGCGTGTGCTGAATTATTTACGGTGTCACTGACAAAGTTTACGATGTCCACGACAGCAACAACAACGGTCTAACCTTAGCTATTTGTTCAGTAAATTAAGAGTGTGCCATTTTTACGTATTTTTTACGCTGCCACAGAGATGTTTGAGTTGGCGAAACTGATATATGTGTGCGTTCTGCTCGATGAGACAATCATTATTAGTCAGCCCATGACAACAAAACAAATCACGAATACTACGCAAACTTGGGCTGGGCTTCTGGCTCGTGTCTTTGCTCTGATTAGATGTCTTATCCTGCTTCTGCCTGGATTCCCCCTCACATATAATATTTGTCTGAATTAGTTGGACACAATCATGTTCCGCATAGGAATTCTTTTCCTCATTGCGCTGACCTCGACTTGAGAACTTGGAGGATTAGGAAAATAGAGAGAAAAACTGAACAATGGGTCGTAAATAATAGTAAGCTTCCACGAGAATATAGTAGAAGCAAAGATAACGCAGCTTTTGCAAGGAGCAAAGAGGTCTACTTCTTGTTCCGCTTCTTAAAAATTTAGTTTCTTACATAGTTGAAAGGCAATTATTAAAACAATATTCGAATAATAAATCTATCGAATTGGTTTTATGTCTGCAATATTAAATTAATAACACATTCAATTTTTATCCTTTAAATAATTTAAGAGGAAGCTTGTATTTTTTTGTTTACATAAGGCATTCCAAATTTCACAATAATAAGAAACAAAAACTTTTTGTTTAAGAGAGATAAATAAATGTTTTAATAATAAATCGAAATTTATTTTTATATTTTAAATTAAAATATATCTGATAAAAAGAAAATGATTAACCTATTTTTTAAGTGTAAACAAATTCTTGGTAAAAATAAAACCTCCAACTGCTGAGCAATTAATTTGGTATTTTTCTGCCTGTTAGAAACTGTTGCCGCTTTAGAGGGCCATCAATTCGTTGGCCAAAGTTTGAAGACAAGTTCCACGTGATTGTGGGAAAGTTTGTGCCAAGTTGCGAGACCCACAAATTGGCAGCGAGACATTGGCCAATGGTAGGGAACTCCGCACAAATTAAAAATTCAAATTCGATTTAGGGCAGAAGTGGTGTTTAGCCTTTGGCGTCCCATTCCGCTTACCTCAGTTGGCTCAGTTCGCTGCGCATGTCGTCATCCACGCTGGCCGCATTGGTGGTGAGCCGCAGGGATTTGCGCAGATTGTGCTCCAGCATCTCGTAATCCTCGCGGCGACGCAGCATCAGGGCGCTGAGCTGTTTGGTCAGCAGACGCACCTGGTCGCCCATTTTCCTGGCCTCCATTGTCCTGCCGTTCGAAGGGGATTCCATTGAGCTGATGTCCTCGCCATCCTCATCGTCCTCCACGAAGCGGAGCAGCTCCACGCTTGATTCCGGCGCCTCCGTTTCCGGTCTCGACTGCGAGGGCTTCTCGGATGTGCTGGTCCTGGCATCGCGCAACATGTTGTTCACATCGCTTAGAATTACGCCACCACTGGCCGCTCCACTAACCGAAACCATGCAAATCTGGAGTACCACTACGGCTAGCAGTATTGGCCGCAAAACGCTTGAGCCTGCCATTGTTGCAGTGCAATTTAAATTCTCACGCGAAACTTTCTCTTTGGGGTCTCGGAATGTTTGGCAATCACACCGCGCAAAAAAAGGACTCGCGGTAGATGGGCTATTTATGCAAATTCAAACTGGCACGCATGCCGACACACAAACGACTCGCGACTTCCCGGCGGCGTGTGACTGTCAAACACCTTATAAAAGGCGCTGGCAAACAATGTTTAAATTATTCCTGCAGCTCGCCTCGGGCTTAATCCTCTTTGTTTGGTTTAGCTTTGCTTTTCACGTTCGGTTTTGGTCCGCGGAAAGTTCGTTCCACGCACTGGGTTATAATACTTGACCACTTTTACTTGTGGTTTCTCAAAACCAAGGATGTTTTTGTCGCGCCGGTCTTCGATAGACTGAAGCGGCGCGTCCTCAGCGCTTCCTTTTATTCGCTGCGATGCCGACACTCGGCAGCACTCGGCTGCCATCGGTCAACGAGAGAGAAGGAGAAGCGAGTACCAAGATGCGGTAAATTGAGTAAAGAAATTGTGGGAGAGAGTTGTAAAGAGAGCAGGCACCTGCACGAAGTAGTTGTGGGATGCAACAAGCAACTAAAGAGAGCGGCAAAGAGAGAGCTCCCAAATAAGAGAACAAACTAGACCTAGACCCAAAGATAATATCCTTGCAAATGATTACTATTACCAAAGATCACATCTTTGAGGAGCTGCAACTGTTTGCAGTCCTGAAAGGGAGAAGAAAACAAACCCAAAATGGCGGTCTAGCTATCTGGTCCTGTTTTTTTGCACTCATATCCTGCTCCTGACACATGGCGCGCTTGCGGTGAGACTACTACGAAAACAGACTGCAATGAAAACGGCAGATGTTTAAGCCCCATAGGCAGACGTAAAAGTGCGAAAACATGTTGACGTGCCCAGAAAGTGCAAGAAGAGGGAGAAACGGAGAATCGGCGTTGCAAGGACCAGAAGGGAACGTATCAATGAATAAAGAAAATTCATCAGGAAAACTCTCCTTTGTCTTACTTTGTAGGCAGCTGGAAAAACGTGATTGCTTGGGATTTCATATGAAAAGGTTATATGGAGTAACTACCCCGATATCAGTTACAAACACAACAATAGAGGGGGCAAGACATTGGTCTTTTCGGTTATTTTAAAAATGTTTTGATAAATTCCCTAGAAATTCAGTAAAAACAAATCTTCAAATAGACTGAAAGAAGAAAAAAGAAAATTAAAAATATTTCCATAGGGTTTTCCTCCACTTTTTATAAACTATTTGATATACTCAAAAAAGATTAACATTCTCTTTTTAGGGGACTTTTGCTTTACGACCACACTTCTATCTCTATATAAATCGGCAACCATTCGTTTCACTGATATTTTGCAGACATAAAAGCCGGAAAAGGTTTTAAAGTGCCAAGTTGGAATGCGGCAGCGAAAGTCACAGGCAAAATGGAGCAGCATAGCAATTGAATGGGTCGTAAGCCCACTAGCTGCATTGTTGCAATATGGATCCATGGTGGGGTTCCAATGGGCGGCTTACGCACGCGAGGAAAATGGCAAAAATGCCAAAAATGCCGCCTTACGCACCGAAAAAGCGTTGTAAGCTATGCACTTTTGCTATTTTTTGTTCCCTCCATAAATATAATGGGGGTGAGGCATGGTCTGGGTCTGGGTTCAGCTGAATGGAAAGCGCGCTTGGCTGAACAGGAGGGGGGAGTGGGGAAATTGGTAGAAAAAGGGTAGCGACTGCAACAGTCTGCCATTGTTGGCACTTGCCAAAGCTCTGTTGCAAATTGCAATATTTCTGTACCCTTTCAAAGGGGTTTTTGTAAATTTGAACAGAAGCTTACAGAAGCTTAGTAGAAGCTACTTCAATAATGGTCTTAGAGTGTGAAATCGAATATATTGTACACGTATCGTAAGTAGCTTATTTATAAAAGCTTATTTATAATAGAATCTCTTGTTCTTTTTTTTTATCAAAAACTGAACGGAATTTTCAATTAAATCTAATATTATGAAGTATATGAAAGTGATTCGACAAAAATAGAGATATTTACCGAAAAATGTTGCTTGCTATCATTTTGCCAAGTTCTTATTGGATTTCTTGTTCCTTAAAAATCAAAATTGTTTTTTGATAATAAAATTAATCAGACTTCTAGTTATTAAACTAATTGCTGTTGAAGTGTATGCCAGCCTTCGGTTCGCGAATCGTTCACATTTTCCTGTATTATTTCGATGGCGTTTTCGTTTTTACTTTTTAATGTATTGCTAGCAGCAAGCGGCGAGCCAGAAAGCGGAGGACAAGCTGTTGGCCAGCCCCTTTGTGGTGGCCATCATCAATGGATGTGGCTGCATAATCAAGCGCTGACCACATGCACATCCATGGCACATCCCCGGCCATCCGGCTGAGCTGTTTGCATATTTTGAGTGGACGCAGTTTAGTTTTTAATTTGATGCCTTTGTTTGTTGTCATTTGGTTCTAGCTTGTTGCACACGGCAAATGTGGCAGTGGCAGTGGAAGTGGCAGCGGCAGCGGGATGGGGTATTGCACCTGGGAGTGGTGGCTGCCGCCATTTGCATGGGAATCCCCTCGGCCTCAACCCATCCCCTTTGCCAGCCCACCCCCCCTGGTGCAGTTGCTTCATTGTCGCCCGTTATATTGTTGGCTTTTATGCAGGGAAATGTGGCTGGAAATGGCAGCGAATGGCTCACGTTATGGTCAGCATATTAAGGTAATGGCCTGGAAAGCCAGTCGGTGCTCTCCAGTTCACTCCCTGAATTGGTATTAAATGTGAGCATGACACGACTCGAATGGAGTTCAAATTTCATTTGCACTCATATTCGATGGGGATTTCAACGGTTTGTCCCCACTGAACGCTCGTCTGAGGTCTCATGCAGGTGCTAAAAGCAGGTACTCTGTGCGATTTGATGGGTCCTCGCATTGTTCTTACCAATTGCACTAGCACTACAAAACAAATCACTCTATGTGGTATAGCAGACATGTTTAGAAAAATCTAAAAATCTACTCCAATTTATTTAACAACTTTTGATCAACAAGATGGAGAAGTATATGTTTGTATCAAGGTTTCTATTTACTTTTTATTGAACGTCTTTAAAAACATAGTGCCATAAAACAAGAGTATATCTTTATAATATTTTTACAAAGCTAATAAAAATTTATAAATTTAACATTTTAAAGCAAAGTGCTATAAACCACATGGTTGCCAAATAAAATTTTATTAAATCTTTATAACTAATAAACAATAATAAACTCCATTAACAGTAGGCAAACTATTTAATTTTCCGGTATTTCGCTCAATTAAAATTCTTTACTTTTATGAGTATCTCAAAATGAATTCAACAATCAATGCCTGAATGCGGGAGCAGGTGTCTCTTATCTCTTCATTGACCATTTCGTGGCCTTTCTGGCCGGTCAGATGATGAGGGCTCATCAGGCTGGCCCCGAGGATTGTTGATTCTATATATTGTGCATACGAGATGAGCGCTTGAGCCGAGGACAGGTTCCGGTTGTGTGGCATGCACGCATGGCCGAGAAGCACGCAACCACGCACGCGATATATTTTCAGCACAAGCGACAGTTTTATGCCTTCGACAATATACATATATATCTGACCGAAAAGCGATCGAAAAGAACGCTGCACAGGCGCAGTTCCAAGCTGAGCACTAATCATCTGAGTGACAACGGCTGCAACAGCTGAGGCCACTGGCCAACTGGCAAGCTGGCTAACTGACAAACTGGCGAACTGGCAAACAGAAAAACTGACAAAAACCGGCTGCTGCTAACGGCAGGTGCAAAACATTTACCACTCGGACGAAAATTTCCTACCTGATTTAATCTGCTGCTGTTTCAGTTGTTGTTCCTTTTTGCCTTTTTACTGTTGCAGGCGGCTGGTGTTGCTGCTGGGCCTTGATGTTGCTGCTTTGTCTCGATATTGTGCTGCTGTGCCAAGGCTTCGCTACGTGTTGTTTCATCAACTTCGGGACTTGCGGCGTGGCATGTTGCCTGCATGCTTCGCTGATCACACACACACGGGGCACACTGGCGCACACACAAATACACACACACACACAGACACTTTGCTATCACTCAAGGCTGTTGCTGCACGGCTGCCTCCGTTTTAACCATCCACTTTGGTGGCGTTTTTCTTGGCAACGCCAACGCACCAGCATCACCGACTGTGGTCTCCTCGACTATGCTTTCTCACACTCTTCGCGGAGAGAGTAAGTGAAAGAGATGGAGGAGGAGGGGAGCAGAAGGAAGAGAAGGTGCACGCATTGACGGAACATAAAAACAATCCCTAGGAGCCATCAAACGAATGAGGGCTAATGCTGCCATTGACCAACATACAAAAGATATTGATAGAAGTGACATGGTGACTCGACTTTGAGATACCCTATCTGTTTATTAATGTCAGAATTGACCATTGCCTAAAAATTCTAATACCCCTTCAATTCAAATATTTTCTAAACGTGATTTTGTCTCTGAAATCCAAGAATAAAGATCTACAGACCATGTGTTTTATAATTAGTTTAAAATGTATTGTGTAACTTTATATTTTCGTTGCATGTACCATTGGACTAAAAATTACAATGTTTGAGTAAGAGTTATTAAAAGAAAACAAAACACATGTAAGCTACTTTTTTACTGTTATTTTTTTAAAGCTATTAAAATTTCCCCGAAATTAAGTAAGTAAAGTAAAGTATAATATAAAGTATATAGTATAATATAAAGTATAATATAAAGTAATATGTAAGTAAAGTATAATATAAAGAATGATTTTTAATCTATGTAGTTCAAATTTGAATATTTAGGGAAAGGGATATTTAAAATACAATGATTAAATATAGTGATTATTTTTTAAGAATGATAACATAAAACTAAATGCACAAATGTAAGCAAATTAGTTGGTTCATCATATTTTTTTACATTGGGCGGAATAATTTAGTTGGAGAGCAATTTATACCCATTAACAATAATCGAAATTTTGAAAATCATAAAGATCGATTTCTGAAAGACAGTATTAACGAAACCATAACCCTACTTGTGATAAATTAAATTCTGAGAACAGAAGTAGGTTACGAACTAATCCAAATATTCCCAACATGCAGTATACCTCTCTAAATTGGGAGTACTTAAAACGAAAACAGAGCAAACGAGGAAGATGAAGCGGAGAAGCATCGAACCAGCAGCGACAGCTGCAGACACAGATGCAGATACATCTACCAGATACATCAACATCCCGCAAGCGGAGTTAAACGGAGCAGCAGGATACTAGGACATCGGAACACCAGGGAGCGGGAAGCGGGGAGCGTGGAGCGGAAGGGGGCTCCTACTAGAGTCTTTTGTGACTTCGCAGCTGT